GGAGAGGTTGAGTTGCCTATAAAAAGCAATGACCTCTTGCTTTTCTTTTTAAGCCTTCAAGTCTTATTTTTATAAGATATGAGATTTGGTTAAAAATTCATCTTTTTTGAGGTAAGTGTAATTGACAATAAATAAAATGGAGTATTAAAATTTATTAAAATAATTTTTTAAAATTAAACGGATTAAATGAGTCGTGTCGTGTTTCCTGTTTATTAAACGGGTTGTATTCGTGTTGAAATTTTTTACCCATTTACTAAATGTGTCATGTACGAGTTTATACATTTTTCACCCGTCACCCACCCGACACATAATCGTTTAAACTGACACGTTTGACACCCTACGCACACGCCCATATTAAAACACCGTGCTTACATCCTACCAAAATGTGCTTATCACATATGGTAATAAGTGGATCCTAAAGGATTATTCTCTAATCCCACCTGCAACAAATATGCTCAAAAGTGGCTGCCCACTTCGAAGATGAGGACATCTGTCTTCCCGTGCATGCAAAATGAACAAAACTAGGTTTACAGTTTTCTCTCCGTGTGTGTGTAAAAGTAAGAGAAAAAGAAAGGGAGGTGGGACTACGATGACTACTGGCTTCCATCTTTCCATGGTAGGTCATAATCATATATTAAATAAATTCATCCATATAAAGCAAAATCATATAGAGGATGAAACGTTCATATCTCCTTTGGTGATGCATTAACTAGGCAAATTTTTCAAACAGCATGCTCATAATATCACAAGGTTGTGAGTATCAACTCCCACATTGATGATCTACCACCAGATTCACAAATAATCAAAATGTGAGAAGAATAAAATGAAATTGAATCTGCTACACTATCAAAACATCACATGGTAATATTCATGAAAGCTATAGAATGTCGCTCTGGTCTATAATTTAAATGATGGTCAATATCATTACTTCAAGTTGACAAACAAATTCTGTCATTACTTCATATTGTCAAACAAAATGTATCACGGAATGTTATCATCATGTCTATATAAAGGGTCAAGATTAAAGTTTTAATAGTCTAATTATTTCATGAGTGGTACCATTAACAAAGGTCATATGAACATGTGATGTTCTACTAAATTAGGTCAATATATTATGTTTCAATAACATTGTTCTTTTTATAAAACTATAAACTTTCCACCAAATAAAAGTAATACATGTCATACAGATAGATCAAGAGAGATACTATCCACCGAACTACTTTGAGCCCAGTTATCCTCTATCAATTGGTTAGTATCAACTGAACAATGGCGACTCCAAATTGTAAAGACTTTGTCTTCTTCGGTATGTGTAGTGTTGGACAACGAGAGATAGAGGTAGGCTAAAATAGTTTTGAATGAAATAGTAAAAAATGATGTGATTACAGTTTACGACAACTTTGAAAGAAGAATAAATATTTATGTAGTTGACCTCCATAATTAGGATAAAGTTTTTGTTCAGATTAAAGTTTTGATGAGGTGAGGTTAGGCGAGTTGAGTTGAGGTGGGTGGTGTAAATGCTGTTCTTTAGAATTCCAAAAAGTAGCCTCAGAACTTAAAACTATTGGGATAAGCACATTTGTGCATTAGAGCTTATTACAGTCAAGCCCTATTTATTTCCTCCATAAATGTTTACAGTTGCAAGAGAAGTGTATCACTATATCTTCTTTGACGGATGTTGGCTGACAAGATTGTTGAATGAACACTTATTGCATACTTTGATATCACTTCTATGCTTATTAAATTAAGTCTTGAGCTTTGACATTTATATATTTCAGGACGCCTCTTTTTTTCACACCAAAAGTAACCATGAAGGGTGTTGTACAGCAATGATGTTCACTTCTCTATCACCCACAATTTTAGTTTTCAATATCTTTGCTCTATTGTCACTTTATTATCGTTACCGAAGTAATCCTCTATTCCGGAAGTGTCAATCTTCCGGTTTGTCATCTTGTTATCTTCTAGCCTTTACCTAGGCAGATCCATCAATCCATCCATAAGTGAAGCACCAATTTAGAAGCTTAAAGCCAATAGACGTATGTCAATCGTAAGTTGGAAATTTTAGATTCTCTCATCTAATATTTCACCCGATAGTTACTACTCCATCCTTGAATAATTGAAGAGTTGTGATATAATTTGTTTTCAATGTTTTAGTGATTTTGGGATCAGTGCAGGATCAAATAATAAATTATGTGCAATTATAAAGTTAAGATCTTATACATGAATAAATTGAATGAAGTCTTAGAGATAACAACAAAGAATCAGAGCAAAACAATGAGAGTGTGAGGGAGAGAAAAAGTTTGAGAAAAACAGTGAGAGTGGAGGAAAAAATAGTGAAAACATTACTTTTAAAGCTAAAAATCATTACTTTTAGGTTTTTTAGAAAGTTTTGTTATATTTTAGACTTGTAAAAATATTACATTTTAGAACTTTCTATAAAGTTTTAGATAAACTTATGAAATATATTGGACTTTTAACTTGGTCCAGTTAAAATGGTCTTCGAGCATGAAGAGAACTAAGGACTAAAAATTAAATTGGAACCCTAAATTGTTGGGGCCTAGGCGATTATTTTAATGGTCAGAGGCACTAAGGTCGACGCTGCTATGCCTCATTCCATTCAAATGATTGAAGTGTTTATGCATCTGGTAACAATTATAGTCTCTGCTCGTCCCTCATTGTCGAGACTTTGTTCAAGAAACCGATTAAGTGAGCCAATTTGATTATTGAATGACACGCAAGGATTAAATGTAATATATATATATTACTTCATATTTTATGCATTTTTTTAATTTATCAAAAATAATGTGTGGACCGTTACAAGATACTATTATAGTAAAAATGCTCAACGTTACAACAAGATGTCATATAATTTTTCTTTTTAGTAATTTACGTATTTAATATATATTAAACATTACATACATATTATTTCATACCCATACTATCTGAGTACAAATATTCAAATAATACAATCCATAGGAATTGTAATTATACATAGATCATCATGGTTAAGTATACATTTTTTAGCAAACATGCATATCTTTTTGTTTCTCTTATCTTTTGTTTGACCTGCACTTTTTGAAATATAATATATTATTTTATTATTATTTTTATGTTTTTCATGAAAATTGTGGTATTACATTATCAACTATCAGTATGTATTCATAATTTATTGTTATCTTATTATCTTGTTATTGAATTATTTTATTATTTTTTTAATTTCTTATGATCCTTAACTTGTTTATGTATGCAACGTTCAACTAATTTTATTATGTTTTATTTTCTCAGATAACAACTTTATTGAAAGTTTTTTTTTGTATTAATTAGTTTTTTTGTGGATTCTTTATGAGAATGAATAATTTAATTTGTTGGTGTTTTTGTGTTTAAATTAAAACAAAATCGAGTTTAAGAGAAGTAAAAAATGTGTTTAATTTATTTTTACTTGTGGAAGAAAGATAAAGAGAGATGCTTATTACAATTTTTTATTGGTGTTAACACTTTTTATGTCTTTTAATAAATGTGTATATGTGAGGTAGACTACAATTCTAGACCTAAATTCTAAATTCTATATTTTTGTTATGTTAAGTTATAATGAGTTTGAGGCATTTTTTATGTGCGGGGCCTAAAGCTCATGCTTTTTTAGCTCTATTGTTGAGTCGGGCATGCTGCATAATATCATGTTTGCCTTTCACTTTCTCCTCAACCTACACCTCCACCTCCACCTCCATCTCTACCTCTACCTCTATAGTCTACCCAACACCAACATTCGCACATGCACACACTCTTTTTTAGGGCCAATTGTGTTTTTTTTAACAAAATATAGATGACATGAATTTCTCATATTTAACATAAACTATTTTTTATAATTTAAAATTAACTGTTGGAGTTAATTACAAAATATTTAAATTTAAAGAGAGTTATTTGTTGAAATTAAAACCTGAATGGGTGAATGGAAAACTTCCCAGAGTTAAAGAGATTATTTTGTAATTAATCCTAAAAATGTTATTGCTTAGTGGCCACATGCACCAGTCATTTATGGGACACAATACTATCTATTGTCTGGATTGGGCTCAGAAACCCAAGCCCATGTTTCCTGTCTCCAAGCCCATTAAACCTGTGGCATTTTTCCAGAACGAAAATTATTCATTTCACGCAGAGATAAAGCGTAATTCTGATTAAAGAAGGGATGTACCGATGGGCTGGGCATACTCAGAATACGAGAATTTTGTTATTATGAGATTGGGAGAAAATTAAATATACACAATTTTATTCTTGTAATCAGATATTATTTTCGTAACTTGAACTTGTAACTTTGAGATTACAATAAAATAATTTTACTGTTACATACATCAAGATTGTCCTCTTTAAAAATTAAAAGTCAATCCGATCTTTTTAAGACTTTACTGTTTAATTATTGTTTGAATACTAATATCTATTGAAATAAATCAAATAATCTCTCTCTCTCTCTCTCTCCATATTTTGGATCGCATCCTAGTAGTGAGTTCAGACTTTATGTTCTCTAGCATCAAATCACCAGCTAACTGTGTGCTTCAAAATAAGCAAATATTCTTTGGGCAAATGATGAATTTTGGAACTTCAAGATAATAATCTCTCAAGTATTCTCATCCCGATGCAAGCGATGCAACTATGGACACACTCATGGAGATACACAGTAATCAAGCATGGTTATGCCTTCAACCTAAAAAAAAATACGTACCCAGTATACGTGACTCTCGCTATTGCGGAGTCTGACGATAGTTAGATATACGCAACTTTACCTCTATAAACAGAAACACTATTTCCGTAACTCGAACCCGTAACCTCCGTCACAATGGAACAACCTTACCATTATGTCAAGGCTCGGCTATGCCTTCAACTTCTTAGGATTTAATTGCAGTAGGCATTTCAACAAAAACCGGAGTAAACAAAAAGAGTACATATAATTCAGTATGTATAATCAACTATAATAATACAAATAAACAAACCAAATAGGACTCCTCTCTGGTGGATATCTATACAATAATCAACTTTTGAAGGGCTTCTACATTTGGTCGCCCGACTCTACCCTTTTTATCACAGCCAGAAACAGAAAAAAAAAAAGGACACTTTCGCTCCTCCTCTGCTAAACAACCTAGTGCCATGGCTTCAATGATATATGAACTGTACATTATATGAAGAACAAATGAAGGGAACTTACTAAAAAGGACAGGACAGTGTATGAAGTTCCTGCCATTCGGAGCGAAGGTCATGCATGTAGTCTTACCCTCGCTTGCGAAGAACTGTGTACTGAAACAAATTTACCACCATGCAAAGTCCAGCCTCATTAAGAAATAGAAGTAGCTCTTCTTCAGAAATAAGCTAAACACTTTAATTCCCTGGTGATTCAATTTCATATCCCAGAAGTTCAGGCTTTGATAGGACTTCTTTGTTCTCAAACTTCATGAGCTAAAATTATCAGCAATTCCATGATCTCTTAAATTCCTCTACAGTCTCAATGCCATAACGATTCCAAAAAATTTGCTTCATTAGAGTTTAGGTATTTATAGATACCCCAACAAACCCACACCAGAAAAAAATAAAAATAAAAAAAAAATAATAGTCATCACTTCCAGGACCTTAGTTTTTTCCATGGACATATGAGCCGCTCATCTTTCTATCACTTGACTCAGGGAAGAATATCCCATAAGCTGATGAAGTGGAGAACCTGTGGTTTGCAGTTCCTCAATTTCAAAGGATGATTTCCCCCGGCTGGACATACTGGACGGGGCAGACTTCTTCTTTCTGTCTTCCTTGGGATCGAAAGAAATACCAGATGACATATTTTTATCATTAGAATTCCTTTCAAGGGCGTGAAATGGAGAAAGTAGGGAGGAAGGATCCTCTTCAGTAGAACAACTTTTACAGAAAGATTGTCCAAAGTCATCAGAGCATGAGACAGGTTCAGCATGTGGACGACCATTGGCACCAGATGCGGAGGCCACATTCCTCTTGTTGATAGCATCACTATAGTCATCAATCTCACTGGGTGGAGGGGCTATAGCTCCAGGATTGTATGGAACTAGATGAGTTCTATTTTCAAGAGAAAATATTAATACCTCTGAACAAGCGTTGCACCTCAGCCGATGGCATCTCCGTCTGGAGATCAGATAATCTGCAGGAAGCTGCAGCAGTTCCAAGCAATGGTAACAAGCAATCACAGGAGCTCCACCTGCAATGGGCCGGAAATGTCGCTTCATCGAATGGTGTTTCTCCCTCTGATACAACATTTTCACCTCACGATCTATATGCTGCTGATTGTCGGACATTATATCATGGCTTGACAAAGAAAACTCAGAGCCAATATAATGCAGGGGACTTGAGGGATGAGAATAGTAGGGATTGTAACAATTATGGCTGAGGTGAGATGTATGCTCTTTTTGACAGCAAATGGCATGTGGAGGCACTGAATGCCAGTCTTGGGGACAGCAATGTAGACAGGAGCAATCAATTTGGTGTGTCGCCTCCCCCAAGAAAGCCATTCGTGAGATTTGACACCGTTCTGCCAAGTTTTTACCTTGCATGTATCTTCCAGGATACCCAGGATAGTTTAACTCATGATATATTCCCCCCTCTGACGCCAAGTGATTGTAGTACGAGGGAATCTGCTTCTCCATCCTATTAATTTCATCAGGGAACCTTCTATATGCCTTTGTTTTTGTAACATTTGTTTTGTCGAGCTGATCTTTGAGTTCATAAACCATTCTCAGCAGCTCCATTTTGTCTGGTTCAGGGTACCCAGGTTTGTCAGGTGAATGATAGTTAGAATGGTTTTGGAATTCCTTGTGCCCGTGCCATAATGGGCTGCCACTTCCGTGGCCGGATGGGGAACCCGTTGAATAGAAAGGCATGCTAGATAGATGCTCATCTGTTTCCAATCTCCTCCTCCCTCTAAATGGTTGGCTCTGTCCTGTGGGTAGCGGCAACTCATCTTGACGCCACTGGGTGCCTTTCATGGCATGATGCTTCTTCCCTGACGTAATTGATGAGGCATGTTGCACTTCTAACTCACTATCCATTGCATCATTCACCCTATATTCATTTCGCCTGAGCAATCCATTAGTGCTGACAAAGTCTGCCTCCTTAGGATTCCTCTTAGATATGTAAAGATGTCGGTCAGGGACTTGATCGTCAGTTCCATCAAAAGAAGACACACTACCATCATAAGCATAATAGCTTCTGCATGTTGGAGATCTATACATATCTATAAGTTTAGCACTAACCTCAGAGATGGGGTTGACAAGTGGTAGACCTTCCAATGTGTCTACAGAGCTTACTCGGTTGAAACCCTGGAGAGTGCTTTCCTGAGATAGCTCCAAGTCCTTTTTGGGAGGAGAAGTAAGATCATCTGATGAAATGCTGGCATCCAATGCCCTTTGAGCAGTAGAGATTGAGTACCTTGACCTTGCAGACAGAAAGTTTTCTGCACTTGAGCTTCTAAAGATGAAACGACTCTTAAAATCCTCATCCATCTCAACTTCTGTTCCACCTACAGCCATGTCAGCCACAGATTGCTCTTCTATCTCATGACAGGTAAACTCCGCAGATGAACAAACTTCCACTTCTACACCTGCTCCATCCACAGCCATGTCAGCCCCTCTAGATTGCCCTTCTGTCTTATTGCACAAAATCTCAGAAGATGAAGAGCACACAATCTCAGAAGATGAAGAAAGTTCCTTGGAACCATTCATATTTCCTGGCTCCTCCCCATTGCAATGTTTACATTTATTTAGATGATGTCCATTATTATGATCCAAAAAATATTTACTTTCATCCACTTCTGCTTGTACTCCTACTCCTGTTGATGACAATTCCTGATGATTAAGCTCGGTTGATGAAGGGACTTCACTATAAAATTGTATGCCGCCAGTCCTCTCCCCAATACAATCTCCTTCATTTTGATGCATTCTGCTGCATTGGTCCAAACCACATTCATCTTCATCCAATTCTGTATGTGCTATGGATTCTGGGGATGACTCCCCATTCTCAAAATACTTAAGCTCAGTTGATCCAGGAACTAAGTAGGGAGAGCTTCTTCCTCCAGGTCGCTCTCCATTGCAGTCTCCAGATTTATTTTGATCTATTGAATTGAATTGATCCAAGGGACATTTATCTTCATCCATGTCCATATGTACTCCATCTTCTCTTAACAACTCTTTATTCTTACAAATAAGCTCAGATGAGCTAGAAAGTTCATTGGAAAAGTTCCTAACTCCTGGTTGCTCCCTTTTGAAATCTTCAAATTTATATTGATTTGTCTCACTGGTTTCATCTGGTGAATATTCTCCCGTGGAAGGAAGAGTGGTTTGTCCATTTGATCTGCTAGCTTCTTTCTCTTCAGAAACACGATCCAGTTCATTTTTCGGGGTATGGCCTGCTTCATGCAACTGTGATCCTGTCTCTCTGGTTTCATTTCTCCGTTTTTTAGCTGTATTCAAAGACAATATTAGAAGAAAACCTTTAATAGAAATAAACAGCTACTGTCAGAGAAAGACGGACAAACTGAAATCAAGGGACCGTAGTTCTAACTCTGGGTCTATAAAATGCTCAAACCTAAAATAGCAGTACAAGAAGGATATGTGCAACAGAATAATAATTTATAACAAAAAAAAATACATTCAGGCCAAGTATTGCTTGTGTCCCAAACTTCTCTTCTTAAAACATTACCTACCATGATTCACAAGAGGTCATGGTTGCCTAAGCAGTTGAGAATCCAGAGATCAATGTCTGTTGACTTACAAGATCATGATAATTTGAGAGGTAAGATCATCATAAGCCTAGGGCTTTCAGTGTTAGAAGTATCCTAGGGTGAAAACATCTCGACCCCTCTCCCCCTCAACCCCTTAATTACTGCACCCAATAACTGGTCCTGCACCCTCCCAGGGGTAATATAGTGAGAGACCATGCTTTCGTGGTTATTAGAATTTCAAAGAATGCATTACCTTGTAGGATCGCGCCACATCCTCCACACTTGTAAACCGGAACCTCTGCCATCTCTGGAAGAACCTTCTGGCATCTAGGACATCTGACCAGTCGAACTTTAGTATTCATCATGACCCACCAATTATCTACCTGCAACTAACTGATGCTTGGGCTCAAACCACCAAGTATCTGATAGCAAACATGAATAACACCCATGTTGAAGAATTAAAAGGCTCCCACCACCTGATATACATATACATTTCAATAAATAATATATACATGTATATATACATACATATCAGTTAGAAAAACTAGGGATAAAGCACACGAAACAAATTCACTTCTTATTGTACAATGAAGAAATGATAGTGATCAAATCAAATGATGGACCGTAAGCATAAGATGGTAAAGATAATTTACACATATCTCTTCGTGAAGACCACCTTTGTGACCCACATAACATACAACTGTCCACAAATAATAAAACCTGATAAACCATTTCACTTAAAATGGGTTTGTGGTAGAAATTTTTTGAAAAGGTTTAATTCAAAATTTTAATGTCCCTTATACTTGAAATTTTCAAACTTTAATGATCAATCTATATGTTGAACCATATGACACCATTGCTGAACCATAGGAATATACAACTCTTCTCAAACATTTAAAGGAGCTACATAGATGGAAGGGGAGAGAGAAAGGGAATGGTACTCATGGGTTCGTTTCATCACTTAAAGTCACCGCCAAATTGGATAGTCTTGACTGGATCCATTTTTTAGGAGATTATGAAGGACAAAATGAAATAAGAAATCATGCCACATAATCAACAGAAAATGATCTGAATAAAAAAATAAAATGATAACAAACAAAAAGATGCCTCATTTGTGCAGGGTAGAATTCAAGCAGCACATAATAACGCCGAAGAACCCTATATAAACAAGCAGGGCAACTTTTAAGGAAAATTAAAACCAAGCCAAAAATTAAACTTGCCAACCAAGTTGAGAAACGAAGCATATAATAGCACAGCAGCAATGCAGTCAAACTTTAACAATGAAGTCACATATATCTCTTTCATTAAATATGATACAATCTCGAGAAGCGCATTCATGGTAACTATGTATTGATCCCTTTGATCTGATTTCTCATCATTCCAGGAAAGTTTTGCTTTATTTTCAAATATATATCTCTAAGCCAAAGAATTTATTCTGAAAACAATCGTTTTTCATGTCCTGGCATCCCAATGTTGGCTGTTATACATCAGCTAAGCTGCCTACAACTAGAAAGGCAAACGGGAGTGCAGAAGACATTTGGTAACTAAGAAAGTGTTTCAGCATAGGAACCATACAAAAGCTTGGAGTTATAATGATGCATTTTGGAAGGGGCTTGCATACAAACTGATATAAACACTTGCCCAATCCTGGGAAACGATATTGCTTTATCTATCATACAGAGCCAAATATAGATGTCCCAATAAATATGCATTGACAATACTTCTACATAGATTTTATTCAATTCCCGCATAATTTTGGTAACTTCACACGAGAGCCATGCAAAGAAGAGTGCATTCATTGAACAGTTCCTTCAAATATCAAAAGCCAGCATAAAGTGCCAAACAAGTCCAAGAGAGATGCAACTCTACAATTTAAATTATGTAAAGACAAAACCGAAATTGAACAATTATTACAGATTTTATGCAATTTTGGAATCTAAGTTTTGATCATCAAATCTATCATGAAAATTGAACATCATCTCCAACCAATGGACCAAATTTCAAACTGAATTGGTACACAAGAGAGGCAACTTACAAAGACCAACCAAGAAAATTGAAACTAAAGGTTGCAAAATAGAAAATTGAAACTATAGATTAAAACTAGAAATATCTACATATAAAGCCTAAATAAAAGATAAAAAAAAAAAAAGCACACACACACACACAAACCAAGCATCTGCCAAAAATTTGGTTGAAATTCTACAAGTAAAATGTTAATTGAAGACCCAGTAAGTTTAACAATAAATGGATCGAAGATCAGAAATAAAAATACACACAAAGGACCAAGATTTCTTTCCTTTAAAAGAAAATTAACACATAAGAGATTCTTAAAAAAAAAACCTTGAAGCAATGGTCAAGGAGAGAAATCAATTGAAATCCTAGTATATATATGAGAAATTCTTGACAAATAACTTGCAAACGATAAAAAGAACTTAATTTAATCAAATTGCAGCTCACTGTATCTGTCTAATTAATGGAAAGACAAAGAAAGATACCTTTTCAACTTGCAATTGCAAAGATCCGAAGTGAAAGATCAAAGATTACTAATGATACAGCAAATATAAAAGATAGGAGGAATGACGAACCTAGCAGGAAAGAGAGAGACGAAGCAATTCGAGACACTCTTGTCGTTAAACGAAAAGTCTATGATCCACCTTTTTCTTCTTCTCCTCTCCACATCTGTGTGTGCTAAAAGGTCGTCTTTAACGTGTTTAAGAAGCTTCTAAACGAAATCCCCAACTGTGAAATCGTTATCTGACTGAACTGACAAATCTCCCTGCCAGTGTGAGAAAACGAAACACGGAATGAAGAACAAGAAAATAAGGTGGAATTAGTCGAGAGATGGTATAAATTGCTCTAGCCATACACGGTGGCAAGACCATGTTGCCAACATAGTGGGAAGACCATTGTTGTGTTATGGCTGGACCATATATTGCTAAGTCAACTGTAAATTTGGTTTTTTGGTAAATATTTATATCATAAATATTTTTTGAATTATGACTTTTATTTTAAAGTATTCGTGATTTTTAATTATTTTAATTTATTTTTTAAACTATGTAATTTATTTTATTTGATTATTTTTATTAAGATTAATTGATAAATGAGATAATTTTATTAAGGTTAATTATTAAATGAAATAAATTCTATCAAGATTAAGGGTCCGTTTGATAGGAATAATGAAAAATTAGAAAGATGGAAAGAAGAATAAAAAGTTAGAATGATAAAAAATTTGAAGGAATATATTTTTCCTCATTATGTTTGGTATGATAGATGGAAAATTGAAGAAATGCATTTTCATTTGTTTGATATTGGATGGAAAGGAAAAATATCTATCAAAGTCACCATTATACCCTCACATCTAATTACATGAATAAGATTAAAGAAAATAAACCAACACGCATGATTTTTTTTATAAATATATAATATTTAAATCCCCTAAAGTTTATAAGTATATAATATTTAGACCATTTTTAAATTTAAAATATTATACTTATACCAAAAATACTTTAATTAAATATGAAATAATAAATATTTCAAATTTTACAAAAAAAAATTAATATTCTATTGTATTATTTATTGAATAAAATTTAATTATATATATTTTTTTCATTATGTACATTTTATTATTAATTTTTCTATTACATATACAAAAGTGGGCTCAACCAAGAAAGTGATGGGTAAAATAGTCAATTCACAAAAAAAGCCCATTTCCCTCCATTTTTGGGGGAAAAAAATTTGGTGGGCTCCAGAAAAAGTATTTTTCTTCCATTTTTCATTCCCTCTCATTTTCCCTCCATACCAAACAATGGAAAAAAATATCTTTCCTCTCATTTTCCTTTCTTACTAAGCCAACTGTAAATTTGGTTTTTGGGTAAATATTTATATCATAAATATCTTTTGAATTATGAATTTTATTTTAAAGTACTTGTGATTTTTAATTATTTTAATTTATTTTTTAAACTATGTAATTTATTTTATTTAATTATTTTTATTAAGATTAATTAATAAATGAGATAATTTTATTAAGGTTAACTATTAAATGAAATAAATTTTATCAAGATTAACCGTTAAATATATCTTATTTAATGATTAATTTTAACGAAATAAGTTGATTAAAATGAATTATATAGTTTAAAGCACAAATTAGGGTAATTGAAAGTTCAAAGAATAATTTAAAATAAAGGTCATAATTCAAGGAGAATTTATGAGATTTAGTGATTTACACTTTTTTTTTTAATGAATTTGGGAAAAAAAATATTAATATTCTAATTTTTAACCGTCATTGCAATCATTGAATAGTGTATAATAATCAATTTTTTTTTGGAAAGAGATGGAGATTTTAAACCTAATTCTTTTGTGTTTGACCGTCGAAAATGATGTCCAAGGAAAAGTTGGAAGGACGAGACATGATAAATTAATAGTTGTTTTTGGTAAGTATTCACCTCTTGAAATAATCAAATTGGCTCAAATAAGCCAAATTAGTAGGAGAATTTGTCAGTCCCGATCCAAAAAATGAGTTTTTTTTCCTAGAGATTAAGTAGTACTCCTGCTATTTTGTCTTTGGGAGACCGGACTTTACCAAGACGTTTTTTCCTTTCACGTAATTTTGTATGCCCCTTTCATTTTCATGCCGAAAAAAATGAGATTCAAACCTATAATATAATCTTCTTGTATGTCAATTTAACAAACTAATATATTAATACCACATTTGTGTAAAAAAGTAATATTAATTAACTTCTCGGGTTGAGACAATAGTTTGGCCAAATAAAATTTTTTAAATTTGACAAACTTTTGTAATTGAATGTCGCGTCTCAGATGTGATATACATTTTTCATGTATTAAATTTGGTATTTCATCCTTTAAAAGCCTATAAAATTTCTTTCTCCATGCGTTGATTCTGATTAACAACTATGATGAAAAGAAAAACATTGTAAACTTATAAAATGAATCACAAAAATTATATATTTATACAATAAAAACTTTCGTCATGGTCGATCGGCGTGGAGCAAAGGGAGGTGCCTGCCAGCTGTACATGCCAAGTGGCGGTTTCTTGTCCAGGCAACAAGAGCTGAAAAATTCGTGGAAGTGGGGACCACTTTTGGTGAGGATAGGCGCTTCAGCCATCAATGTCCGAACCGGTGGAGATTAAATGCGATCCTGCCGCCCAGAAACTGTTTGGGAAGCTTATGACGTGGCGGAACAACAAAGATTGGCCACTTGGCTGATTTTATGACTAAATGCTTTCGTTACCCTGACGTACTTGAACTTTGCAGTCTGTGGACAAGTGCTTGGTCAAACTGCCAAATTAAAGAACTGCTGCTGTCTATTATGTCTCCAAAATTCCCTCCTAACATATTTTTTTGTTAATTTTTTTTGACAAATTATTTATTATTAAAAATAAAAATTTCAATTTTATACAATATTAGAGTTAACTATGCTTAAAGATACGGTGCAATGTAAATTAACTGATTAATTTTAAAAAAAATTTCTTTAATTTGTTTTAATTATAAATTCTTGAGAGGGATATTAGTGACTATTAGATGAATTTATTTGAGACCGTTAGATGAACTTATTGAAATTTATCCTATTTTATATTATAAATATCTCACTTGAATGAATTATATATAATTTGTTAAAAAAAATTTTAAAAATACATTATATGAGATCTCACTGTTTCAAAATAGAGTTACGAAAACAAAATATTTTTTTTATATCACATCTTCCCTATTTAGCCGATGAAATCTTGTCATGTGTAATTTTATATATTTATTATTATTTTATTACCTTATAATCAATAATTATGTTTAATTTAAAATTAACAATTCGGATCATTTTTCAATATGACTAGTCTTATTAAGTTTTCAATCTATATATATAATTTATAATATAAAATAAGACAGACTATAATAAGTTCATTTGACCATTTTAAATAAATTTATTTGATGGCCACCAACATTTCTGTCAAAATCATTTATATTGAATTTCTCTCTCCCCTCGAATTCATTACTTCAAACACAGATTTACCACCTAGTTGTTAACGAAGTTAACAGTATTTTAGTTGCCATTCGTGGCCATTACTTTCAATGTTATGATATTAATAGTTCTTTTGCTTTGGAGTGAAAAATATGCACGTGGACCCCACTGACTCTGGTGGCAATTTTAATTGTATATCATTCTAGAAAATTGACTTCGACCGGTCAAATAAAAATGCAGTTTCACAAAGGAGTTGTCTATGATAACAAAAGAAAAATAAATTAGTATTATACTAATATTTATGATATTTATATATATTTTTACCATTGTTATAAAACTAAAAAAAAATGATATAAATAATTATCACAATAATGATAAAAATACTCATAAAGGTAATAATTTTTTTTGTACAAAAAAAAAGTGGTGAGAATAATTATCACAATATTGATAAAAATATTTATAAAAATAAAAATACCCATTAAATTTTGATAGTACGGTACCACATTTATTTTTGAACACGGCAGTCAAGTCCGACAAAGAAAAATGACTCAAACTATAAATGAAAAACATCATCCCTAGCACATCTCAGATTCCTTGAAATGGGTCAGAGGAGAAAATTTGAAATGAATTTAACATACCAGGTGACACTATTTTGTGGTTTGTAAAAGTTGTCACAAAATTTGTAAGAACAAAAAAAAAATCAAAGTGATTACCAACTTAGCAATATTAAATGAATAAACCAAGCCTAACTTGATAAACTAGTTTTGACAATAACAAATTATATATTATGGATGCATATAATATAACTATTGATACATGTATCAAATTAAAAACTAATAATTAAACAAATGCAATTGAACACAATAGAAAACAATGAAAAAAAAATATAAAAAATTTAGCATTTGAGAGTCTATTAGGCACATCGAAACGTGTCCTAAAGCGACTGAACCTCCTTACACGAAGATATTAATAAACTACAACAACTGCAAGATTCAACCCAGATTCAAAAATAAAAACTCTTCAAAATTCACTTACATTGAAGAGTAGGGATGAATCAAACTCTAATCGAGTTACCCGAAAATTAATATAATTAAAATACTTAAGAACGTAGAAAAGAACAAAACCAAACTATTTTGTGAACAACAAACAAAAAATGAGAGGCTAAAAGTTTCTTTCAATTTTTCCTCAAATGAAAACCAAAGGCTAATAAGTTTCCGTGAGTTTTTCCTTTCAATTACCGCAGAACACCCTTTACCACCCTTTATATAGGCAGTGGCTATCCAAGCGGTGGAAACAAATTAGCAGTAGAAATAATGCTGTTGGGGAGGAAAGAACACAATGGCTTGGACTGCTCAATTGGGTTGCAACTTTTTTAAAAATCAAACTTCAATTCAAGTTTCAAAGTTCAACTGTCATATCTTACGAAGAATTCCTCCACATGTACATGGTATAAAATAATCCAAAACATTAAATACCTCTTAGAAAAAAGATGAAAGATGGAACCATTTTGAAAAAGAAAAAACTTATTAATTTATTCCAACAAAATTAGCTTGTGAGACAAAAATGACAGTCATTACAGTGGATGTGAAGCCTTTAAAAACAACTAGAAAGAGGAGCCCCAATTAAGCAATTTAAGCACAAAAAGTTATAGGTACATTTTGGGATGTAGATCCAGGGCTTACAGCAGCATGCAGATAAAGATCAGAAGCATTGACTTAACCATCTGAAGCAATCACGAGCTAAAATGCAACGACATAAGATCCAGAAAAGTAAAAGATATAATCAACTTGCAAACATGACATGAACTTCTAAGGCAAACCAAAACTCATTCAACTTACAAACCCAAACCTGCATATCGCTTAAGCTCATTATATGCCTGACAAAGTTCTCGATAGCGG